AAAAAAAAAAAAACCTGACCAAATTGTTTTCCAGAGTAACCGTACCATTTTACATTCTCACCAGCACTATATGAATGATTCTTTGCATTCCCTCCTGGCCAGCATTTGATGTTGTCACTCTTCTTTATTTCAGCCATCCTGATACAGCATGTCATCATATTTCGTTGTGGTTTTTTTCTTTGCCATTCCCTAACGGCTAATGAAGCTGAACATCTCTTCATGTGCTTATTTGCCATCTGCGTATCCTCTGCAGCGAAATAGCTCTTCATGTCTTTTGCTCATTTTCTAATTGGACTGTTAGGCTTTGTTACTGTTGAGTTTTGTAAGTTCTTTGTATATGCCACATACTTGTCCTTTGTAACAGATACGTGTTTTGCAAACATATCTCCCCAGTACATACCTTGTCTTGTCATCCTCTTAACAGGGTGTTTTGCAGAGCAAACATTTTTAATTTGGGTGAAGTCCAATTTACCAATTTTCTCTTTTTCTGAGTGTGCATTTGGCGTCAAGTCTAAAATCTCTGCCTAGCTCAAGATCAAAAAGATTTTTCTTCTTTTTTTACCCTAAATGTTTCATAGTTGTATGTTTTACATTTATTTTTCTCCACTGAATTACTTTTGCACCTTTGTCAAAAATTACTCGGATGTATTTGTGGGGCTCTATCTCTAGTCTATTCTGTTCCATTAACCCATGTGTCTTTATCCACCAATACCTCTGCCTTGATTAATGTAACTAAGTAACAAACCTTAATATTGGGTAGAACAATTCTTCCCTTATCCTTCTTTTTCTGGATTATTTGGCTACTCAAGGGTTTGTGCTTTTCCATATACATTTTAGAATAAATCTGTCTGTGTCCACAAACAACCTGGATGGGATTTTTTTAAAAAGATTTTATTTATTTATTTGATAGAGAGATAGTGAGGGCATTAATACAAGCTCGGGGAGTGGGAGAGGGAGAAATAGGCTTCCCGCCGAGCAGGGAGCCCAATGCTGGGCTCGATCCCAGAACCCTGGGATCATGACCTGAGCCGAAGGCAGACAACTGAGCCACCCAGGCGCCCCCCTTGCTGGGATTTTAATAGGAATTGCATTAAACATATATATCAAATTGGAGGGAATTGACATTCTTACTATGTTGTCTTCTAATCCATTTATTGGGATGTCTCTCCACGTATTAGAGGTCTTCTTCGACTTCTTTTACCAGTTTTTAAAATAATTTTCAGCATACAAATCTTGTATATGTTTTTTTGTTTTGTTTTGTTTTGTTTTTGTTTTTTTTTTTTAAAGATTTTATTCATTTATTTGAGAGAGAATGAGATAGAGAGAGCATGAGAGGGGGGAGGGTCAGCGGGAGAAGCAGACTCCCTGCCGAGCAGGGAGCCCGATGCGGGACTCGATCCCGGGACTCCAGGATCATCACCTGAGCCGAAGGCAGTCGCTTAACCAACTGAGCCACCCAGGCGCCCCAAATCTTGTATATGTTTTGTTAAGTGTATACCAAAATATTTCACTTTCTCTGGCATGAAGGTAAATTCTATCATGTCTTGTAATTTTAGTTTCCACATGCTCATGAGTAGTATATAAAATGCAATTGATTTTTGTGTGTTGATTTTGTATTCCATAAGCTTGCTGAACTCACTTATTGGTTCCAGGAATGTTGGGTGTTTTGTTTTGTTTTTTAAATAGATTCCTTGGGATTTTTTACATAGACCATCTGAAAATGGGCACAATTTTATTTCTTTGTTTCTTCTCTTTGTGTCTTTTATTTCTTTTTCTTGCCTATGGCACTGGCTAGAACTTCCTGTACTCTGGTGAGTATGAGTAGTAAGAATGACCATCCTCACTTGGTGCCTGATCTTAGGGCAGTGCATCCAGTTGCTCAGTCATTAAGTATGATGCTGGTTCTGGGTTTCTCGTAAGTGCTCTTTATGAAGCTGAGGTAGTTCCCTTCTGTTTCTAATTTGCTGAGAGTTTTTATCATGAAGAGTGCTGCATTTTCAAATGTGTTTTTTTCTATTTCCATTGATATGATCATACGATTCTTCTTGTTTAACTTGTTGATATGATGGATTACGTTGAATGATTTTTGAATGTTGAACCACCTTTGCATTCTTGGAATAAATCTCAATTCATCGTGGGATAGAATTATTTGTATAGGGGCGCCTGGGTGGCTCAGTCGGTTAAGCGTCCGACTCTTGATTTTTGGCTCAGGTCATGATCTCAGGGTTGTGAGACGGAGCCCTGTGTCGGGTCCCACACTGGGCATGGAGCCTGCTTAAGATTCTCTCTCTCCCTCTCTCTCTGTCCCTCTGTCCCAATAAAAAAATAAATAAGATAAAATCCTTAAAAAAAGAATTATTTGTATACATTGTTGGATTGTGTTTGGTAATATTTTGTTGAGGATTTTTGTTTTTAAAATCCCGAGAGATATTGGATCTGTTTTCTTTTTTTTTTTTTGCACTCTCTTTTCCTGGTTTTGGTATCAACATACTACATGCCTCATAAAATGAGTTGGGAAGTGTTACCTCCTCTTCTATTTTCTGGAAGAGATTGGGTAAAATTGATGTTAATCTTTAAATGTTTGGTAAAATTCTCCAGTGAATCCACTGGGGCCAGGGAATCTCTTTTGGAGTTTCAATTACAAATTCTATTTCTTTAATGGTTATAGTATCTATTTCATCTCCATTGAAGTTTGTTAGTTCAGGGTTTTTGAGAAA